GGCACAACAAGGTTTGCACATTAAAAAAGTGTTTATTGATGCATTGAAAAAAAAAATTTTTTCTTTTGACTTATATCAAATTTGGCCATTTCACTCTCCTGTAGTTGCTCTGTACTACTAGAATATGTTATCACGTTCATACGTAATGACGTCATTTGACGCATGTGCGTCACGACGACATCGATACCCGGAAGTAGCCTTTGGCATTAAACAGAAGATTCTACACATCATTACAATAATAGCAGGTACCTCCCTTTATCCAGCTGATCATATTAAGGTTTATTAGTTTGAATCGACAAGGTATATAAGTGGTAACATAGATCAGTCAGTGAGAGGTCCCCCAGAGCTGAAACGTCGGGGTTTTAATTTCTCCTGCTCTTGGTCAGTATACCTTTTTAATGGGTGTTTGCATTAAGCACTTTATTAGTATATTAGTATTGAAGTATTGGTATTATAGATTGGATATGCATTACTTTATGAACTTTCTTTCTGTCAAAACCTATTGATGTATTCTTTCAATGCATGAATAAACGCTTTTTTTATGTGCAAACCTTGGTGTGCCTTAGGATCATTATTATCTTTTAGTGTTATAACATTGCAACAATGTAACCAATACAGTAATAAACTCTATATCTACACTGAGAGATTATCTAATTATTTATCAATATATAAGTGCCCATTAGCTATCCAATTTTAAAGTTTTCTTTACTTAAAGCGGCACTGTAATGCAGAACATACCTTTCTTTAATCAATTTCTCTTTTCTCCCTCTCTCAGGATCTGTTCTTCATTTCTTCCTGCCTGCTCTAGTTTTCTTTAAAACATCACACAAAGTAGGGACTATTTCTCTTATGGAGGTTTCCTATGCGGTGACCAGCGGAGGAGCAAAGTGTGCTTCATTTCCGGTGGTCAGAGCAATTTTCCCACAATTCTCACCTTTCCTCCGTGTTCTCGCGATGCCTCCTTTCACTTTTCCAGAACGTCCTGTCATTTAGACAGAACGTCTTCGAAACTACCGAATTGCGTCCATTCGTGTTGGGACGCAATTCGGGACTTTGTTCAGATCGAAATTTCATTCTAATGAATGAAACTCCGATCCTATTCGTGCCACGACTGCATCTTTCAGCCGCTTAGTAGATAACACACTAATTCCCACGGTATTAGGTTGCTATCTGAACACAAAGGAAAGGTGAGAATTGTGGGAAAATTGCTCTGACCACCGGAAATGAAGCACACTTTGCTCCTCTGCTGGTCAGAGATGGTCAGGCGTAGGAAACCTTCATAAGACCCTACTTTGTCTTATGTTTTAAAGAAAACTAGAGCAGACAGGAAGAAATGAAGAACAGATCCTGAGAGGGAGAGAAGAGGAATCGATTAAAGAAAGGTAAGTTCGGCATGACAGTGCCGCTTTAATTCACTTATGTTTCACTTAGTGCTATTCCCAATTGGGATTCAATAAAGTAATCTTTTTTTATTCCTTATTTTCTTTTCATTATTACTATTACTTTTTGGTTTTGAGCTTTTGTTGGATATTTACTCTTTTGTGGGTAATATTATTGGTATTGTGTCTTTTTTTGAGACTTGATCCAATCTATTAATTGACTTCTATAATGGGTTATGCCCTAAATATACCCTGCAACCAATACGTGCTTTGTGACAGTTTACTTGTGACTATGCCACGGAGGTCTGTCTTTTGTTTAAATATTTGAAGTTTTCTTAATTAATGGAACATATTTGCAAAGGCACAAAAATATGTCACATTGTACAAGGAAGAAATGTGATTCTTTTGAAGTGGTTTTTATAACTCATTAATAAAGTGGGACAAATTTAAAACCACCCCAAAAAGGCATTTTTCAGAACACGTCAATAAATTCCCCCCCATTGTATTTACCTGCACCTCTTCTTCACTGCTGTTGAGGTCTGTTTGAGGACACGTTGAAGTATCTTCCCTGAGGAAACAGAGAGGAGTAAAACCAGATTTTGAATGCACACAATGTGTGGCCTATTATTAGATCACTCATATGAGGTATATTCTGTCACCAGTGAAATGCTGCATAATGTGGCTTGAATGTGTAAGTTTTCAAGGGGTTAATGCATTCCTGCATGTATTAGTCATTTTTACTACAGTATTAACCATATATTTTTTTCATTTCAGTCAGATGTGACAGCACAGTGTGCTTATCTCAGAAGTTTTTATCGCTTGCTCTGTTCATTTAACCTAAATAACACAGGCTTTTGCAAACTATTCTTATATACTTTTACACGCAAAAGGGGTGTGTTTAGAGCTGTATAAATAAAGCGATTTAACCTAAATGGCAGAGAATTGAACTGTGAGACCGTGGTGGAATGATCTATACACTAAAACGGTTGTATTAGACTAAAGCTGATTTCATGCTTATATTGCCCCTTTAAAAAGGAAAACTCCAAACACCATAACCACTACAGTATTGGTAACACATGTATAATATTTACAATGTAGAGTGATGTTTACAAGTTTTAAGAACTTTTTTTTTTTTTTTTTTAATATTCCTTTATTCATGGAGTTCCAAAAAACATAATTAAGAAATATGAAGTAATATAATTTATACACAGCAAAATAAATTATTGGATCTTTCTGCAAAAAACATTTCTATGTCAGTGAAAGTATCTGTAGGGATAGCAATCAAATTATGGGGTTGAGCTCGCTGAGGATTGATTTGACATCCCTGCACTTCTTGGAACATTGTTTCAGCATCCCTTTGGAACGGTGGAGGGCTTCCCCAACAGTTCAGTATATGCTCTGACCTTTTTTTTTTTTTTTAAATATTTTTTAACCTGCAGGTTCATTTTTCTACTATTTTGTGTGTTGTATGTTTTTATCTTTTGTTTGGGTCATCACACTCATTTATATCCCTCTGCTCATTAAATATAGATATTTAACTCTTTCATGTATGATATGACGATGTTATACCTATTTTGTTGCCATCAATTCACTTGCACTATATGTAGTGACATATCTCATATCTGGATTTGTCCTTAGCGCTCAGACATACTATATATTTAAAATAGCAATTAAATTAGTCAGAAAAGATATGTAACAAACATGTAACATCAGTGAGTCCTCAATGATGGAAATGTATGACGTGTAAAAGCATGCAGAATGTAAAAGAAAAACCAAAAATATAAAAATCAGAATAGATAACAATGGCAGTAAAACCAGGAGAATTAGAACGAGAGATGTAGAGAAGAAAAAAAGATGAAATGGTTATAGAGAAAGGATTTGTAGTAATAGGCTGATGAATGGTACATCTGTAATAGAAGAAGGGGTGCAAATTAGCAGCAACCAACTGAACCAACAAGGGTCCCAAATCTTGTGGATTGATTAGGTGGCATTATGGACTATTACTGTCAATCTATCCATTGGTTATTCTGGAGCAAAGTTCTAAAACGGAAGCAAACTGAAGGGATACTCCATCAGCTACACATCTACATTGTTGGCCTTTTTGACTTTGTTTTAGAATTACAATTCATATTAAAAGAGGGTAATGAAAATTATTATACCATTAATTATTAACATTAAGTACAAATTGTGGAATATCACTGTTTCAGGTATTTTTACATTACCTTCCTGATACAACGAGAGTGCCATCATCAAGTAAATAGTCTTTCACATTTTCTGGCAGAGGGATTACAATGCTAAACAACACAAAAATAATAACTTTTAGAGTATAACAAAAGATATTTCCGTTAAACAAATGCATGTATGTAGAGTTTAATAATGGACAGTTACACATTAGTAATTACATCTTTACTCATTACTCAATGATTACTGGTTTTACTTTGTGAACCAGAAGCAACACATTAGCATTTAGCGCTACACCACACTGTAATGTGAATGAGGTTTCTCAAATAAACTCAGTACAGTGGTGCCCTGCAGGAAACTATTTAGTAATGGTACCTTTCTTAGTCCTTTTTAAATGCCCGTGCCATTGATTGGTAATCAATTTTAGATTCACACCTCAGGAGTTAACCACTAGTATAACATAATACACACCATTTGCAGGTGTTACAGTAATCCTTGTATTTAAGAAGTCATATCAACATACATGATGTAGCCAACCTTTGATCAATGCAGATTGTGCTCTATATTTTAATTTCTAGTTCACATTCACTGGAATCCGTTGTTTAGTGAATACACTTCTGTGATGCTTATAAGGAACTTATAGCCTGAGTCAAAAGTCAAGAACCACCCAGACGCATGTATAATTATTCATGTCAAATTAATCTAATAATTACTGTTGTGTAATAATATATCAATGGGTTTATCTAATGTGTATATGCTATGCTTTAGGTCTGGTTCTTAACTTTTTACTCATCTGATGGGAATGATACACAATTACAATAAAAGTTAACTAAAATGGGCTTGCAAGTTTTCTTGAGTAAAATAAACCATGACACACACACATTATATATATATATATATATATATATATATATATATATATATATATATGGCCAGCACTGTCACTCTAATTGTGTAGTAATTATTACAGGACACAGGGGATGTTACTGCTCATGGCTCACAATGTGTGTATTAGACTTTGAGCAGACCCTGGCAGAGAGTCTGATCACAGTGACAGGGCTGGTCTGGAGGAGGACACATCCTCACCTTCTGATAGTGAGCTTCTTAAACCTTGGGTACCACTCAGAGAACTGGCACTTCACTACCTGCTCCTTCTTCATGCTGGAACAGCCTACACAGGAAGTGTCCCGTCCCTAATGTGCTCCGGGTAGGAGAACAGCCAGCAGGTGGAACCAAACATCTAGCAAACACACACTATCCAAATAACAGTCAATCAAACTGGGACCCACGGGGTTAAGCCGTGTCACGTCACTTGATCACGTGGTTCCGCCGTGTGCGTTCCAAAGCGTGGATCTTAAAACGAGCTATTCTTGTACTGTGAAGGAGGCTTGAAACGCACCTTTGGATTGGCCAATGACCTATTGGTTTCCCTCCGGGGGCGTGGCTTAGCCCCTATAGTTGCCATCCTATAGGATGCGCACTCCCAGTCCGTGCCTGTGTCTGGGAGTGCCCGTCCTGTGTCTAGCTCCGCACTGTGCAGGTAATGGGAGGCGCCGTGTGTCCGGCTCTCTGGCCGCCAATTAAACTCCCAGGAGGCGGCTGGTCACCGCCAATCCCGGGCTGAAGCATCTAGTAGCAGTCAGTGTGCTCCATAGCAATACACCAGCAGTCACACAGAGAGAGAGAGGGGGGGGAGGGACATCCATTACTCAGCCTATTCATTCTAATAGTTTGTATATAGAATGTATAACCACTCCACGCTTATAATAGCCGTCACCGCAGATAAATATGTACATCGATTTCTGTTCAGTGAAATCACCCCAATAGTTTACACATTATTATAATACAGGAGGTGACCGGCCTGGAATAGATTCTTTCTCTCTCTCTCTCTCTCTCTCTCTCTCTCTCTCTCTCTTTTTTCTTCTCATCCCCCCTTGAGTAAGAATATATGTTAAGTTAACTTCTCCATTAGTTCTTGTATCCTTCTGGAGATGAGAAAATTACAAAAAAATAAATAAAATTATATTGGTGTTTTTGCAGTTACAATATATATTCCATTGAGTGCTGGCTGTTATCAGTGCACCTTTAGTGGATACAAAAACATTTTAGTAAATTTTCACCTCCGATAAGTGGACTTTGCACTTATGTCACCATGGAACAGGGTTATTTTTTAAAGGTTAAAATGTCTGCATTTCTAAATAAATTTGTGATTTTAGCCAAAATTCGCTAAACTGAAAACATAGTTGATTGGAGAATTATTCTAAATTGTGTAATTTAGCTTGCTGTTTTAAATTCCTAACATTTCACACTTTTGTGGATTGCCATAAAAATGCATTAGTGAAGTCTGCAAGAACTGAATGGTGGCAGTCACTGCAAAATGAACCACAAAAATATTCCTCTGTCCTAATTTATGGAACTGTCCTTGTCCACTAGATGAGTTATCTCCACCCTGAGGACATATATTGTACATTCAGGATGCTACTGACTACTTATATTGAAATTGTATACTACATACATTTGATATCCTCACTTCTTCAAGAAAGCATATCTATTAAACTGTTAGCAGGTTTTTATCCCCTACCCCCCATGACTCCTCTCCTGTAACTGTCAAAATTACCTACTAAGCCCTCAGTGAATACTTTTATAACCCTTCGTACCCCTACTTATACCCTTTGTTTCACTATACCCCACTCCCTCTAGAATGTAAGCCCTCCACCCCTCTGTTCCTGTACGTCCAGTTGTCTGGTTACAATTACATCTGTTAGTCCACCCGTTGTACAGCGCTACGGAATCTGATGGCGCTATATAAATAATAAAATAATATCCTCTACATTTCTAAAGAACTACGTGTAAATTATAGAATGTAACGTTCATATGCAACATTATAATTTTTTGAGTCTTCTTTAGATTAGTAGTGTGCTGTTGGTAGTTTATTGATTTTTGTTTTCTTCAATAAACTTAATTTGAAGTGTTTGCCCTCAAAGGTGCTGCATAAAGACTTGTGAATTGATGCTAGCTATTCCAGTTTTCTGACAGAAATTCACAATTTTAATTAACTTATTAAATAGCCTTTTTGGGTTTAATCATACATGGGCCAGGAGCCAGTGTGATTACTTTGAGTCCTTAAAGGATCACTGTAGTGTCAGGAACTATATAATCCTTGGGGCACCCTCACTGTCGGGGTCCTCCTCCCGCTGGGCTAAAGGGGTTACCTTAATCCAGCGCCAGGCTTCCTTGCCGCTGGTGACCTCTCCTCCCCCGCCGTCAGTTCTGAGTGGAGCAGCAAGAGCGTGCTTTCTAACAGTCCATTGGAAAGCATTTCTCAATGCTTTCCTATGGACGTTCTGCACGGGAATTTCACATCCAGCGTCGCAGAAGCGCTTCTAGCGGCTGTCGGGAAGACAGCCACTAGAGGTTGGATTAACCCTGCTATGTAAACAAAGCAGTTTTTCTGAAACTGTTTACATGTGAAGGGTTAAAACCTGAGGGACATTGCACCCAGATCACTTCATTGAGCTGAAGTGGTCTGGGTGACTATAGTGTCCCTTTACTCATGCAAGGGTTTGATTACACAGTAACATCCTGCATGAATTTTTACATTTTGCCATATGAAAGAACATAATTTTATACACCTTAAATCATTGTGGTCACTTTACAGTACTGGGACGGAAGCAGATTTTACATGTCACTCTTAAAGGGACACTCCAGTGCCAGGAAAACAATCAGCTTTCCTGGCACTGCAGTTCCCCTCTCCCTCCCATCCCCAGTTGCTGAAAGGGTCAAAACCCCTTCAGTGACTTACCAAAGGCAGCGATAATGTCCCTCACTGCTGCTTCTTGGTCCGCCCACGTTCCTCCCCGTTCCCACGTCGTCAGGCGGGGGAGACCTCATGCGCGGCAATGCCACGCACGCGCATTAGACCTCTCCATAGAAAAGCATTGAAAATGCTTTCCTATGGGGATTTTAGTGACGCTGGAGGTCCTCACACAGCGTTAGGACGTCCAGCAACGCGATAGCACAACCTGTGCTATGAATCAGGAAGTGCCCTCTAGTGGCTATCTACTAGACAGTCACTAGAGGAGGAGTTAACCCTGCAAGGTAATTATTGCAGTATTACAGTTGCAGGGTTAAGGGTAGTGGGTGTTGGCACCCAGACGTCTCCAATGGGCAGAAGTGGTCTGGGTGCCTGGAGTGTCTTTTAGTGACTGTCACACCAAACTTACCTTGTTTAGTTGTTTCCTCTTCTCTACCTCTCTCTCTGAATCTGTTCTTTTTTTCCTTTATGAATTTTTTTTTTTTTTTCTTGTAAAATACATAAAACAAAGTAAGGGACTACTTTGTCTTGAGTTTTATTTCCTATGCATGACAAATCTTGACAAAGGGTGAAACTTAAGAAAAGTTCCACTTCCTTTTGTGAAGTCCTATTTTCACACAATATGCATATCCGTTTATACAACATTTTCACCTATCCTAAGTGACTAGTGGAACGTGTGTGTGACAGGGACATAAACTGCTTATTCCATTATATTCTCCTTGCTGGGGATGTTTATGGGATAAAATTAGAATAGGATCTACATTGAACATTAAAGTAGACTCCACTAAAAAAGTAAACCTAGTAATCAAGAATTCTGTAATTAAACCCCAAAAGAAGCATGCATTTAATTATTTTTGCAGATTTTCTTTGGGGCTTATATGGAAGTTTAGTTGCAATAGAGGCAGAACTCCTGCAACTTCCCTCCTCCTCTTGATGGATTAAGATGTCGTCTTTTCTTTCCCTCTATTCTCTAATATCTTGCTGTCAGTTTCCCGTTAACATAGCTTTACTTTAAATCCTAAAGGGTTACTCCAAGCATCATAACCACTATAGCCTCTTGGCCCTGTTCCCCAGTAATGGGGTAAATGGTCCGCCCCTTTACCGGAGTCCCAATCGAGGGCTGGGTTTCCACTGGTGCTGGCTGAACAACATGCGGCTTCTGCAGAGAGACAGAAGCTGGATGCCAAGCCATTGTCCATTCGTGACATTCTGTGCATAAAACTATGCAAAGAAATGGCGCCTCGGTAATGCATCTGGCAGCAAAGTAATTAAAGTCGGTATGAGCAGACTTTCATAGTGAAATGCTGCACATACAGATTACAGAAACAGACCTCTACAAATCACTGAAGTAATCATGGTTCTTGCAGTAACACCTTTAAAGGTTTACTCCAAAGTCCATACCCATTTCTGCTTTTAGAAGTGATCATGGAGGAAAGAATCTGTATGTGGCAGGATTTCTGTTTTAAACTCTGCACCTACAGAAATTTGCAGTTTTGTGCCACAGGCTTGTTTCACCCCATGAACATGTGACTTGGAAGGCTTAGAACTCTATTCTGGACTGCCTAATGTTTATGTGTAAAAAATACATCTGACGCATGTTGAAGACCGACATAGCAAGCATCTACCTTTCCACACTGCTTGTGTGATCCCGCCCATTTTTTCCATGTATCTGTTTTTGTTTCTATTTATTTTTGTTTTCCTTCTAATCTCCTCCCTTTGTCCACCCTCTGCTTCCTGGTTTAGAATATGGATGTGTGCTTTGAGCCTGTGAAAACAGTCCAATCAAATGCTTCTCTATGAAGCATTTGACTAAACCACTGAGAGGAAGTGAGTGGTGCAGAGTAATGACAGACAAGTGTGTAAGATCCTCATCCAATGCAGGATTCCAAGTGAGTTTTTGAGTTATATTTCAGGGGTTTCTAAAGTTTTAAGTTGGGAGAGATTAACTAGTGAAGAAATGTTTCTTTATAACTTCATAATATCAACTATAAATACAATTAAATTAAAGCACCACTATAGAGCCAGGAAAATATACTTGCCTCCCGCCGGGCTGGATGGCGAGGAAAGGGGTTAAACTTACCTTTATTCCAGCGCCGGGCGGGGAGCTCTACTCCTCTTCGGCTGAATGTGCATGCGCGGCAGGAGCTGCGTGCGGATTCAGCCGGTCTCATAGGAAAGCATTTACAATGCTTTCCTATGGACTCTTGCGTCTTCTCACTGTGATTACCTTTTTTTTTTCAAATGAATGCAAATATGGAAGAAAAGGAAATCCATGCCTGCTGCTCATAAATGTTTTATTCATTTATTTTTAATAGCTATTGATTTGCAGGTTCCCTCCCCCCCTCCTCTGGTTTTATTTTTTGTGAATAACCATTAAACTGTATTGTAAAAGTGTATTCATTGCAAAGTATTTGAAATGCCAGTATTCAAGACTATTCTGTTTTTCTAACAGAGTGAATTGCAACTTCGTAATGGAAGACGTAAATCCTGGAGAGTCCTCTGTCAATAACAAGAACACTATAATAAAGGAAGAGGTAAGGATTTCATTGAAATGGAGTGTAATTTTCCCCCTTGGTGTCCTGTGTTCTGAGCAGAATGCAGCCACATCGTACTATATCAAACAGGATCCTAATTGCTCATTAAAGTAATGTAAATGGACAACGGCAGCTATTCCTCTTATAGAGCACTACACTATTGGTAATCAAGAATATTTTCTGTTTCTTCCTTGAAGCACATTCCTCATACAGATGAATAGGAACCATTTGCACATCCTGCTGTTGAAAGCAGCGAGAGAAAAGGGATTGTTTCACTATCCCTTCCACTTTTTGGGTTTAATGGGGTAAACACTTGCACCCTGCAGATGCGATTTTCCTCACACACTCTACAGGAGGTCTCTTTGCATTATCTGTCAATCTATATCCTGATGGGCAAAAGAGCAGAAAAATAAATAAAATCTATACTTTAGTATTCCTTCCCTCCTAAGATTACTCTGTTTATTTACCCCCACTGCAATTCTTTTAAAAAGTAAAATTTTGTCATTCCTATAATCTCCAATTTTGTTTCTCTCAATTAGTCTTATTTGTGTCTCATGGGCCTCTTTCCTTCTCCTTTCAGCCATATGCCACGATCTCCCTTCGTGCAATCCTCTTCATTTTTCATCCAAAAACCACCTCTTCATCATTGTCCATCTCTCTCACTAAGCTTCACCCTTTTGTGGCAAAGAGATAAGTCTATACCACTACTGTTTTGTCATTATTCGTTCCTTCATGCAGAATCTTTAGTATTCGCAAGAACCTTTCAAGGAAATTGTATACACCTGTTCTGTCCACCAGTAGGCTATTCTTGCATAGACTTGGACGCAAGCTCCATGATTAGACTCCTGAAGACTCACTTTCAGAATTGTGGATGGTCTCCAGAGGCAACATAATAGGGCACCTTACACTATAGGCACCCATAACAGTTCACCTCTGTGAATTGCTATCTTGCAAAATGTCCCTTAAAGCGGCACTGTCATGCCAAACTTACCTTTCGTTAACCCCTTAAGGACCAAACTTCTGGAATAAAAGGGAATCATGACATGCCACACGTCATGTGTCCTTAAGGGGTTAAAGGACCACTCTAGGCACCCAGACCACTTCAGCTTAATGAAGTGGTCTGGGTGCCAGGTCCCTCTAGGATTAACCCCCTTTTTTTTTTTTTTATAAACATAGCAGTTTCAGAGAAACTGCTATGTTTATAATAGGGTTAATCCAGCCTCTAAAGCCTCTAGTGGCTGTCTCATTGACAGCCGCTAGAGGCGTTTGCGTGCTTCTCACTGTGAAAATCACAGTGAGAAGACGCCAGTGTCCATAGGAAAGCATTATGAATGCTTTCTTATGAGACAGGCTCAATGCACATTCAGCCAGAGAGGAGGAGAGCTCCCCGCCCGGCGCTGGAAAAAAGGTAAGATTTAACCCTTTCCTCGCCATCCAGCCCGGCGGGAGTGGGACCCTGAGGGTGTGGGCACCCTCAGGGCACTATAGTGCCACGAAAACGAGTGTGTTTTCCTGGCACTATAGTGGTCTTTTAATCGATTCCTCTACTCTTCCTCTGTCAAGATCTGTTCATTAATTCCTGTCTGCTCTAGTTTTCTTTAAAACATAAGACAAAGTAGGGACTACTTTGTCTTATGGAGGTTTCCTACACTTGACCAGCGGAGGAGCAAAGTGTGCTTCTTTTCCGGTGATAAAAGCAATTTTCCCACAATTCTCACCTTTGATCCGTGATCTTGCGATGCTTGTTGTCAGTATTCCCGAACGTCCTGTCACTTACACAGAAATCCGGCGAAACTACCGATTTTCGTCCTAACAGAATGAGAACAGTTTCTCCATTCGTGTTAGAATGCAATACGGGACTTTGTTCGGCAGCCGCTTAGTAGATAACTCCCACGGTATTAGGGAGTTATCTACCAAAAGGCTGAAAGACCTAAATTGGTCTTTCAGCCAAATCTACTAATACTAAGTAAAATTATTTAGTATTGGTAAATTCTGCCCCTGCTCGCTATACTGTGAGTAGGGGCATGTTTAGACAGTGAGCAGCCAGTGGCTGCTCAGTTAAAAAAACAAAGTCCCTATTTTGTTTTATGTTTTTAAAGAAAACTAGAGGAAACAGGAAGAAATGAAGAACAGATTCTGAGAGAGGGAGAGAAGAGGGATCTATTAAAGAAAGGCAAGTTCGGCATGACAGTGCCGCTTAAAAATAACTTGAATTAATATTGTAGGTTAAAATTCATGATGTGTATAAAAGGAACACTCCGGTCACCAAGCAGCCCACACTTATAGATATACACAGTACCACAAACCACTCAAATAAACAATATATAACCGCCCACATACAACACTACAAAGCAACTGCAGCACCAAAAAATAATACAAGCAGAACACTGCAACATACACACCTCCAATTAAAAAAAAAAAAATTATGAAGTCCCACACCAAGGGACTTCATAATCTTGTTTTGGCACAATACTACTGAAATGTTGCCTCACCCTTGCTTACAGTGTCAGCTGACCGCTGTAGCTAATCAGTGGCACTGCGGTTCCTGAAACTCCATTTCAGAAGCTGGATTCCAGTGTGGGAAATGCAGATCAGGCGCTGGAGGCAACCTTTGGAGTTAAACCATTCCTGAATGGTTTAGTCCCCTCCGGTAAGAAACCGCCCGGGGTCTCCTGGCACTATAACAACTTCATTTCAAAAGTTCTAGTGACCGGAATGTTCCTTTTTAATAAATTTATATATGAGATCTCTCATTCCAGCACTAGTTCAGAGTCCCTGCTATTTGAATTCATGACCAGTGTTTTAAGACTCTTCCCACAAATCATGTTGAAGGTGTAGCACTAATTAATGTTTTTGTCTTTGTTCATTTCTGAATGCTATATAAAGTAAGAAATGAAATGGAGACAGAGGTTTTCTAATGCATGTATGTAATTATTGTGAAATGTAGAAAGTACAAACTACAGGAGTAAAAGAAAACTAATTTACATTTGTGAAAATGCTTTAAATTATTTTGTTTTTGGGGTCTGGTAACACATTTTACCTACTATATTATTTGGCACTAAATGAAAAATAATTTTCTAACGGGAAATGTTTTGTTTGTTTAGTAAATCAACAGACACCTCTATAACCTTGCTGCTAGATATATATTTTTTTTTTTTTGGTTATAAATATTGTATTTATCTGTAGTCTACATTTTATGTGCGTTTCTTTATTTTATTTTTTTTTTCCTTTAGACGCTTGTGAAAGGGAAATGGGTACAGCTCCAGGAAACAACATATGTTGATCACGATGGAAAAACCAGGTTAGTTGTGTATGGTCAACCTTTGACCTTGATTTGCTTGCCAGTTTCATAATTATTTAGTTTTAGCCTTTAGAATATGCTTTTCTTATTTTTTTTATTTACTTTAAAGTTGTTAGAGCCCTCTCCTATAAAAGTGGGCTTTTCATCATTCTCAAAACATCTTAGTTTATGAAAGGACTCTTTACATTGATATCATGTGCTTCTGGGGACCCGTATAATAAGTGTTACAGTACTAACTGTATTTAGATCTGTGAATAACATATTCAAATCATAACTTACAGATGCAGCAGTGAACTCTTAGCTGGACCATATTAGTGTGAAAATTTTATTTATTTTTAAAGATTTGTTTTGAATATAATTTTAGTGTAAACTTGATGTTTGTTCAGCACAGTAAGAATGTTTGGTTTTCTCAATCTTTCTTTTTCAAATCTCAGAACATGGGAAACCGTAAAACGTACAACACGTGCAGAGGGCAATGCAGCTGATGGTGAGTAGTCGTATTCGAGAATTGCAGGTTTCAGGTTTGACAACATTCTTACAGAAAAATGAAAAAGCCTAACTTTGCATTAGAGAGGCTTAAACTAAAGCATTTGAATACAAAACAAAATAAAATTTTTTAAAAAGCTTAACATTTATTTTATCGTGTGTGCGCGTGTCTATTTCCATCCAACAAAGTGGTGCTATACACTGCAGATATTAAAGCAGCCCTTTCAAAGCATGAGTCTCACTTGAGAACCTAAGAATCAACTGTAAAGGCATTCTCCTACGTCACTGGAACACATTTATGCCAAGATTTCTATTAATACGGGAGGGACCAGATCTAGACTGGCCCTTAAGCAAATACCCCAGTGAGCTGCCAATGGCTTGGGATCTGCTGGAGAGATCTGTGATGCATCAGAGGCATGCAAAAGAATGAGATGTGACAGCCGACGAAAATGGCCTCTTGATATCTCTCTCCCTCATGAGCCTCCTAACAAAAGTGACATAACCTGCTACTTTGGCACTATGGGGATGTCAACAAGAGCTTGTAACTTAGGGGAAGACCCCTAAGCCCAAACAGGGGCCAATGTGCTCCGTATTAATGCCAATACTTAGTGACTCCCACAGATGTGGCGCCGCTGCTGCCTCATTCCAGAGGCGCGATAGTGTTGGAAGGGTCTGACCCATCCTCTCTGACATTCAACCCGACCTCTGGCCAAGCGGAAAGGCCGGACTGACTCTAACTTCTGCAAGCTCTCTACCAGAGCTGACCTTGTTCCTCTGCTCTACACCATTCGCAAGAACCAAGCAGAATGTGTAATGCCTCTATTCTCAAGGCTGTGGTAGGTTGCCATTATTAAAATGAAAGTACTACCAAGGGTCATATACCTAATTCATACACTGCCAATAACCATCCATACAGCTTTTTTTTCACATAACTATGCACCATTCTCACTAAGCTCATATGGAAGGGTGCCAGGCCCAGAAATCTTCTCATACTGACATTTCACAAGAATAAGTGTGGGCATAAACTCTGGAAATCAATAGTCTCACACCAGGAGAGAAGACCACTTTATGTTCTACTCTGATTCATTTTCCCTATGAGCAACTATTTTTCTAATTTCATTGCTGCAACACTGACAATCTGGTACACACAAGCTAACAAATTGACTATAATTTACTATTACTATCGCCTACTTGCTGCACCTCTTAACACATAATCCCACCTCTCCCCCCCTTCTTCTCATAATGGGAAACAAGCTACATAGTTACATAGCTGAAAAGAGACTTGTGTCCCTGAAGTTCAGCCTTCCTCACCTATGTTGTTGCTGTTGATCCAAAAGAAGGCAAAAAACCTCTAGGGGAAACTTCAGATTCTCTGAACCCAACTTGCAGAAAATCTGTGTTTTGGTACATCATTGTGCCATAGCAAGTAAAATGCAGAAAACTACATATAATATGCTCTCATGGTGGTACATGACTCCAAAATGTTTTAAAAGAATACACCCTCAGATGGATGGCCTGTGTTGGAGATGTGGGATCTCACCAGGCACTTTCCTTCAGATCTGGTGGTAATGCACAGGTATAGTACTATTCTATGTTATCTCTATACTGGACACATTTTCTGATAAACTACAGCTATTCTTCCTGGCCTCTTACCTAATCCATCGCACAGAGAATCCTCCAGATATAAATGCTCACTGACCATCCGTACCCTGAATGTAGCCATTCAACAAATACCGTTATTCTGGAAGCACAACACTGCCCCACCTTTGTCACTCTGGTAAGATGGAGATGTGGCACACTACGCAGGGCACAGTCTTTAACTGACACATGGCTCACTACTGCCAATTCAATGAGGTTTCGGGGGGAACTACCACCCCCTTCTCGTGCTCTCCCTCTACCACCCTGTTATGGTTTCATATTAACGAGTGGTTGATAATGTATATGGGCTGACTTTGGCATACCCATTTAGTAGAGATCTGTTCTATAAATAGTGGACCTGCACGTCCAATGTCAATATTTTTTGGGGGTGGGAAATCAATACAGATGAGAATTTATATGGCTCAAGAAAACGTACACACTTATAAACCATGAAATTGCTGCATTCTCTTACAAACCACATTTAAACTGCATGCACATAGATTTTCATTTCACCGAAATATACACATTGCTACATTACACAAATTTATCCCCACATTAAGTATGCTGCTGGACTACACAAATAAACTGCCACATCCACACTCATTGCTATACTACATTATGTGAATAGGACTTTTTCAGAGGGATGGTTTGAGGGCTGATGCACAAAGTCGACTGTAATTTTTAAATATTCAGGTCTATTTCTAGTCTGTCAGACATGGGTGGAGAGGGAGTGTATTGCAGCATTTTAATCAAGTGAGTGGAAATAATTTTATTTTTTTAAGTGTATTCTGTTGTATTCCGTTGTATGTTAAGACCAGAAAATATGCTGTCAATAACTCACAAACCACATGCTACTTATATTTATGGTAGAGTTGTGTTTTTGTTAATTTATTTATGTTCAATTTTTATGATTAGCCATTTGTTGGTCAATCTGGTTCCCTGAAAGACCATCATGCTACGACATTGTATATTAGAATATCCAATTATTGAACATTGAGTTTTGGGGATTCCTTTAAATATATCAAGCAGTAAATTTGTTTAAAAATGAGTTTTCTATGTAATATTAGAAGATGAAAATAATAGTCTCAAAAAGAGAATGAGACTCAAAACTGGTTTTAAACAGAGTAAAGGAAAATATCATAATACATATTGTGACTCATGAAATCAGCACTGAGTACTGGTAGTAAAACTTGCCAATATCAAATCACGTGAGGGTTCCAAAAAAATGCCGACAAAATTAAAAAAATACTTTATTGTAATGAATAAAAAGGCACTATGTATGGAACAATCCGAATTGTGACTTAAAATTGTATGGATAAACGTACCAAAGTCAATAGGGGAAATGGAAAGACTCAATGAAGTGCTGACACCAACACTGGGACCGTGTTAGTGGCTATAATACAGATAAATCTGAAATGCCAGAGGAGGCTAACAGTAGGGATACATATAAAACTGAATCCGCCCGATTACTCCTAGGTGAAACACCTTCGAGCGTGTTCTATACTGTCCCTAATAGAATGTAGACAAAAAACTCAACAGTCATCAGAGAATGCTTGAAAAACAGCAGTAAGAAGGACAGTGCAAATCCAGGTTAAATCCCTATTGCTCCTTCAAGGGTATTCTATACCGTCCCTAATGAGAAATGGAAACGAGAAGAAACGTCCTCTCCTAATCATAATAATCTTGACTCTAAACATTTGAGAGTCATCGCCACGTATGACGCTGGTTGGGACCAGGTTAAGTCTATTTTAAATAGATATTGGCCCCTGCTCAAACAAGATGAACATCTCAAAGAGGTTATTCCTCCAAATGCAGCCCTTGTAGCACGAAGGGGCAGGGAACATTAAGGATGCCCTTGTACACAGCCATTTCAAACAGTCCAAAACAATCTCTACTCATTGGTTATCAAACAAACTCTTAGGGACTTACAAAGGCGGCCCATGCAAAGCGTGTAACTTCACTTGTAAAAGATTCCAAAAGTTTTCAAAACAGAGCTCAGTCTGATACTTTTCATCCGAATTCCTTTTTCAACTGTAACACCAAGGGTCTAGTTTATCTGATAAGATGCCAATGTAACAAACTATATGTAGTCAAGACTGTCAGGCCGTTCAAAAGACGGATCCTGGAGCATATTACTTCTATTAAAACTAGCAGACACATTGAAACTACAGTATCTAGACATGTTAAAAATTTCCATCAAGGTGACCACTCTGTACTCCAATTTTTGGGTATAGAATTGGTCAAACTTGATCAAAGGAAAGGGAACCTGGATAAACTTCTGAGGAGAAGAGTGTTTTTGGATCTACTGCCTAAATACTGTCTCCTATAGGGTTGAATGAGGGTTTCTCCTACTCTCCCTTTATTAGTGATCTCTAACAGTATAATACAATCTACATAGTTTTAGGAATTTTATTACATTTCGCGACATGGAAAATGATTTACTCACACCTATTTTTTTTGTTTATTTGATGATTATTATAAATTTATTTTATGAGATACCTCTAATATTTAAGATATATATGATCGCCAAGTGACCGATTTCATTTAAGCCTCTTCCTCCCAGATCTTTAAGCCAAGTGACAGTACAAAATACCCTATGGTTGACATCTATAGTAGCAATGAATTTATTAAAATTGTGTTATGGCCAGTTTTTCTTTGGTAAGGATAAAATAGATATTTAGTATGTACCACCATAGTAGCCACTGTGGCACCTTTTAATCGTCACTGAACTCTTTTATTTATAGATATCTGCTGATATTTGTAGTATGTTTGGTCTCTAGTGTATTTTCCATGTAACATCAGTATAATCTAGGAATCACCATAATTCTATAGGTCTATATTTTCAGTTAGCATTCCTTATCCATTAAGAGAGACTATGCCATATCAGCTAGTTTCTATTCCTTTGACATATACTCTTATTAATCTGTCCAGCAAGTATATCCCATTGAACTAATTTTTATGCCAATTGGTATACATTGTGTCATTTTATTTCTATTCTTTTGACACATATCTTTTACTAACCTAGCCAGTAATTTCATCTCATTGAAATATTCTTTGTCAAGTGGTATACATTGTGCCACTCTTTTATTTTTTTATTTTATCTCTATTTTTTTGATACATACTTCGATTAACCTGGCTAGTAATTACATTTTATTGAAATACTCTTTATGTCAAGTGGTATTCTTTGTGTCACTTTACTAATTTTATCCTGTATATTTACAATTAAGTTTTCAGGGTATCAACTGTATAACAAAGGTCTTTATTGCCTTGATATATACTGGACATGGGAGGACCTATCGAGAGATTGTGTGGTGGTTTGGTTAGTTTTTGATCGCACCCTCTCCCCCATGTTCAGTATGATAACGGACTTGGTGTACCTTGTTTCTCTAAAGGGAGGAGTCACTAGCCACATGATGCAGCAGTCTCATCCACTCATATCCCGCCTACTAGGGATCGACTGATATTGATTTTTTTAGACCCGATACCGATATTCTGTGAACTTTCAGGCCGATAGCCGATATAATTTGCCGATATTCTGTACATTTACCATTTTGGAAAATAAAAACTATTTCTAAAGGTAAATGCACAAAATATACATGCCACGTGTAGTGGATGCAGTGTGACAGGGGAGCTGTGTGTGTTTGTGTAGTGTGTGTAGTGGATACAGTATGTGTTTGTGTAGTGTGTGTGGATGCTGTGTGTGTTTGTGTAGTGGATGCAGTATGTGTTTGTCTAGTGTGTGTAGTGGATTCAGTGTGTATTAGTGTAGTGTGTGTATATAATGAAAGCAGAGTGTTTGTGTAGTGTGTGGGTAGTGTGCGTAAAGTGAATGCTGTATATACTAAATGCAAAGTGTGTGTGTATATAATGAATGCAGAGTGTGTGTGTGTAGTGTGTGTGTATAGTGAATGTAGTGTGTTTATATAATGCAGAGTGTGTGTTTGTGTAGTGTGCATTATATAAACACACTACACAAATACACTGCATTATATACACACTATGCAAACACACACTGCATTATATACAGACTACACACACACTACACAAATACACACACTATACAAACACTGCATTATATACACAGACTACACAAACACACACTGCATTATATAAACACACTACATTATATAAACACACTACACAAACACACACTGCATTATATAAACACACTACACAAACACACACTGCATTATATAAACACACTGCATTATACACAGTGTGTTTGTATAGTGTGTGTGTATATAATGCAGTGTGTGTGTGTTTGTATAGTGTGTGTGTATATAATGCGGTGTGTGTGTTTGTATAGTGTGTGTGTGTATATAATGCAGTGTGTGTTTGTGTAGTGTGTATATAATGCAGTGTGTTTGTATAGTGTGTGTTTGTATAGTGTGTATATAATGCAGTGTGTGTTTGTGTAGTGTGTGTATATAATGCAGTGTGTTTGTATAGTGTGTGTATATAATGCAGTGTGTGTTTGTGTAGTGTGCGTATATAATGCAGTGTGTGTGTTTGTGTAGTGTGTATATAATGCAGTGTGTTTGTATGGTGTGTAGTGTGTATATAATGCAGTGTGTGTGTGTGTGCATTGTATACACACACGCACTATACAAACACACACACTGCATTAAATACACAGTGTGTTTCTGTAGTGTATGTGTATATAATGGAGTGTGTGAGGGGGCATTTTTTATTAAATTATTTTTTTTATATATTTAATTAATTATTTTTGTTTTCCCTCCTCCCTGCTTGTTACATGGCCAGGGAGGGGGGATATAGGAGTCCCTGGTGGTCCAGTGGTATTGGCTGAGCTTTGGGGGGGCGGGCAGCAAGCGCTTACTCACCTCCCAGCAGCTCCCCAGTACAACTCTCGCGGCCAGCTTGTCGTGCGGAGCATTGCCATGGTGATCCACTGCAACGCTCTGCGGGTCTCACGAGAGTTGCACTGGGGACCTGGAGGAGCTGCTGGGAGGTGAGCTAGCGCTTGCTGCCCGCCCCCCCAGGACCGCCGGGCTTGTTATGAGCCTGGCGGTCCTAGGAGGTATTATCGGCAATATCGGTATCTGAATTGGCGATACCGATATTTCCGAAAATACCCAATATCGGCCGATAATAGGTCGATCCCTACCGCCTACCATTGATACGTATGTAGGATTAAGGGAGGAGCTTTCTTTCCCACAAGATGGGTGTAGTCAATAACCGCATGACGCGGCATCCATCATCCTCCCTTATCTTTTGCCTTCCTACATTCATGTAGGGCATGACGCATACGCGGGCGCCCTGACTACATTCACATAGGGCATGATGTACACGCGGGCGCCCCGCCTATACCACGCCCTTTCGCACACCTGTCGATGGACGCCGGGCGATTTCTGGATGATCTGGATTGGCTCACTGAATGCTCACTGAGGTACTCTTAACCCCTGACGAAGGTGCAATTGAACGCACCGAAACGCGTCCGGTTCTTTTTTGTTTCCTGTCCTTTACACATGGTGGCACTAGGTGTTTGTTTAACTTTTTTTATATTTTGTTTTTTTATCATCAGCACTGAGTTATGTGGTCTTAGGGGATAACCGGGAGAGAGTTCTTCTCGTTTCCATTTCTCATTAGGGACAGTATAGAACACCCTTGAAGGTGTTTGGCGTAGGAGCAATAGGGATTTAACTCTTGATCTGCTCTGTCCTTCTTACTGCTGTTTTTCAAGCATTCTCTGATGACTGTTGAGTTTTTTCTCTACATTCTATTAGGGACAGTATAGAACACCCTCGAAGGTGTTTCACCTAGGAGTAATCGGGCGGATTCAGTTTTATATGTATCCCTACTGTTAGCCTCCTCTGGCATTTCAGATTTATCTGTATTATAGCCACTAACACGGTCCCAGTGTTGGTGTCAGCACTTCATTGAGTCTTTCTATTTCCCCTATTGACTTTGGTACGTTTATCCATACAATTTTGAGTCACAATTCGGATTGTTCCATACATAGTGCCTTTTTATTCATTACAATAAAGTATTTTTTTAATTTTGTCGGCATTTTTTTGGAACCCTCACGTGATTTGATATTGGCAAGTTTTACTACCAGTACTCAGTGCTGATTTCATGAGTCACACTATGTATTATGATATTTTCCTTTACTCTGTTTAAAACCAGTTTTGAGTCTCATTCTCTTTTTGAGACTCTATTATTTTCATCTTCTAATATTATATTTTGGGTATAAGCAGGGCCGGTGCAAGGATTTTTGCCGCCCTAGGCAAAAGTAAAGTTTGCCGCCCCCCCCCGTGACATCACAATGCCCCACCCATATGACCTGCCATGTTAACTAACGCTAGTGCTGCAGTGCCGCTGTGTTTACATTAAAAGGCCTGCAGGGACAGGCTATAGACACCAGGACCACTACATTAAGCTGCTGTGGTTCTGGGGACTATAGTGTTTCTTTAATGTGAGGTAAATTAGAGATTAGTGCCACGAATAATATACTAGATTACCTACTTACAAGCAGATGAGGATGATGATGGGCTCTAGCTGCAGTCTGGCTCCACTGGTCTGGTGTATAACAGGATCTCTGGAGGCTGTTTGTAACTGTGGTCACACAAATCAATGTTCTGGGAGAACGAGAAGCAGCTCCATTTTTTGGGGGCCCTTTACACAGCTCAAGGTCTGGGTCCCAGGGTCCACCTTCATTTTCCACCAATGAGTTTGTTCACAGGGGATGGAGTGTGTAGGGAATGTCCTGATTTGTGTGTAAGGAATGCATTGTGTGAATCTGTGTTTGTATGTGTAAGGGCTGCAAGGTGTGTTTCTGTGTATGTAAGGGATGAAGTGTGTGAGTCTGTAAGGGGTGCATTGAGTGTGTGTAAGGAATGCATTGTGTGTTTCTGTGTGTGCAAGGGATGCATTGTGTGTAAGGGTTGCATTGCGTGTGTGTGTGTAATGCAATGCATTGTGTGTTTTTCTGTGTGCAAGGGGTTCATTGTCTTTGTGTGTAAGGGGTGCATTGTGTGTGATTGTGTGTGTGTGTGTGTGTGATGGATGTCAATCTCTCCCCCCTCCCTTGTCACTCTCTTCTCCCCCCCTCCCTTGTTACTCTCATTCCCCCTCCCTCCCCTGTCACTCCCCCCTCCCTGTCAATTTCTCTCTCCCCGTCAATTCCCCTCCCTGTCAATGTCTCCTCCCTCCCTGTTAGTTCCCCCCTTAGTTTCTCCCCCCTCCCTGTTGGTTTCTTTCTCCCCCCGTTAGTTTCTTTCTCCCCCTCCTGTCAGTTTCTTTCTCCCCTCCCTGTCGGTTTCTTTCTCCTCCCCCTCCCCTGTCGGTTTTTCTTTCTCCCCCCTCCTGTCAGTTTCTTTCTCCCCTCCTGTGGTTTCTTTCTCCCCCCTCCTGTCAGTTTCTTTCTCCCTCCCTGTCAGTTCTTCTCCCCCCTCCCCTGTCGTTTCTTTTCTCCTCCCTGTCGGTTTCTTTCTCCCCCCCTCCTGTCGGTTTCTTTCCCTTCCTCTCCTGTTTCCTTCTCCCCTTCCCTCCTGTTTCCTTCTCCTCCTCCCTCCCTGTTTCTTCTTCCCCTCCCTCCCTGTTTCCTTCTCCCCCCTCCCTCCCTCTTTCTTCTCCCCCCTCCCTCCCTCCCTGTTTCCTTCTCCCCCTTCCCCTACCTGTGTAGTAGCGTGACCGAGCCCAGTATAGTCCGCGGGTACAGGGAGCAGCTGTCTCCTGTACCCGGCCGGACTAACAGGAAGTGCACACATTGTGCACATTGTGTGCACTTCCTGTTAGTCCGGCCGGGTACAGGAGACAGCTGCTCCCTGTACCCGCCGGCTATACTGGGCTCGGCCACGCTACATAGAGGAAGCTGACAGGAGGGAGCGCTCAGCGCTTCCCTCCTGTCAGCCCCTCTCCTCAGGCTGCGCCCGGGCGGTACGGTCCGCCCTCATGGACGCACCGCCCGGGAAAAGCTGCAGCCGCCCGAGGCTCTTTACAGAGCGCTCGGGCGGCTGCAGCATGAGCAGGGCCGGCGCTCCTGGCGGCGCCCCTTCCCAAGGGGCGCCCTAGGCGGCTGCCTAGTCCGCCTTACAGGTAGCGCCGGCCCTGGGTATAAGCCCTTCATTTGGTGGATCTGGAACCACCATACTGACCTTTGTGTGTTCAGTTCTCACATCCCGTGAGATTTGGACACATATCTATCCTTTTGTATTTCTATGTAATATTCCATGCCTTATTTTTATTTATACAAATAAATTAATATGTACCTCTTGAGCTTTTTATCTTGACTCTGTACTTTTTTTATTTTTTATTTTTTTAGGTGTAGCAATAATACCAGTTCTACAGAGAACGCTCCATTATGAATGTTTGGTTCTTATCAAGCAATTTCGACCTCCTTTGGGCTGTGTCTGCCTGGAATTCCCAGCAGGTTATTACAGTTTTATTTCTTTCAAAACCAGATCATCCACTTTGAACTCACACTGTACATATCTGCAAGGTACTGCTAGGTTGTGTCTGTTTGTTCAGGTATCTCTCTATGTCTGTTTGTTCAGGTATCTCTCTATGTATGTGTCAATCTTTTAGGATGTGCATGTATACAGTGATCAGCCACAACATTAAAACCACTGAATGGTGAAGTGAATAACATTGATTATATCATAACAATGGCACCTGTCAAGGGGTGGGATATATTAGACAGCAAGTGAACTGTTATTTTTGTGTGTGGGAAACCGGAATAATGGGCAAGAGAAAAGATCTGAGTGACTTTGACAAGGGCCAAATAGTAATGACTAGACTGGGTCAGAGCATCTCTAAAACAGCAAGTCTTGTGGGGTGTTCCTAGTATGCAGTGGTTAGTATCTACCAAAAGTGGTGCAAGGAAGGACAACCAGGGGACCCGCGTCAGGGTCATGGACGCCCCAGGCTCATTGATGTGTGTCCAGAAAGCGTCTTCAGTTGGGATGTGAGCATCAGAACTAAACCATGGAAGGCTGCCTAGCCTATCGTTCCTGTAAGTTTTTCTTGTAATTGTCCTATTTATAGTTCAATCCCCCCTCTAATAATATTGTAGCGCTACGGAATCTGTTTGCGCTATATAAATTTCGATAATAATAATAGTCTGATGAACTGTTTCTTCTAGTACTGTGCCAAAACAAGATCTTGAAGTCCCTTGGGGTGCCAGTCATATATATTTGAGATTTGGATGTTGCCGTATTCTGCTTGTGTTTATATATGGGCGATGCCGTTGCTTTAGTGCTTTATATCTGTGTGCATGTGGGCTGTTGTATATATTGTATATGTTCATGAGTAGTTTCTGATATTGTGTAGGATACATATGGACGTAGACTCTTGTGGAATTGTGGATGTGGATGATATGTCCTAGTGTGTTTGTGTGTATGTGTGGGGCTGCTTGTGGCATTGCATGTGAGAGGCTGATTGTGGATTGTAAGTGATGCTGTGTTTACAAATGTGATTACAAAATATAAGAGATTTAATTTACTTTGGATGTACTGTGGTAACACATCCCTCTATCTTATATTTTGTGATCACATTTGCAATTTCATTTGCGGCAGTGTTAGGCTCTGGGCAGGTTCTGGCATTCATTTGAATTCTACAACCTACCTAGAGATTGTTGCAAACCACGTACACCCCTTTGAGGCAATGGGGGTTCATGATGGCAGTGGCCTCTTTCATCATTATAATGCAGCCTGCCACACTACAAATATTATTCAGGAATGGTGTTTGAGAAACCTGACAAATAGTTCAGTGTGTTGCTTTTGGCTCCAAACTCCCTGGATCTCTGATTGCACCTGTAGGATGTGATGGAACAAAAATCTGATCCATGGAGGGCCCACGTCACAACTTGCAGATCTTAAAGGATCTGCTGCTGATTTTTTTGGGGGTGCCAGATACCATAGGGCATGTTCAGTGGTATTGTGGAGTCCATGCTGGAATGCATCAGAGCTGTTTAGGTATAATGAGGGGTACCTACACAATATTAGGCAGGTGGTTTTAATGTGGCTGATCATTTTGTGTGAGACAAGTTATATACTAGTTTGACTTGCATCTGTGTAAATTTAGTTGGGCACACATGCATGAATCTTTATGCATGTGTGCCTAATTAGATATTCATAAGTAGCTTGTTTGTCGTAACGGTGGCCCTGCATAGGCGTGCGCAGCCTATTGTATAAGGGTGTGCACCCTAAAGCAGAAACACACATGCCGCGTGTATATATACTGGTGTGTGCGGGTGCTGTGCTGTGTGTGTGGGTAAGGGTGCTGTGTGTGTGGGTAAGGGTGCTGTGTGTGTGGGTAAGGGTGCTGTGCTGTGTGGGTAAGGGTGCTGTTTGTGTGTGCTGTATGTGTGTGGGCCGTTTAGTTAATATCCCCCCTCCCTTCTTACCTTATGTAGGGAGGAGGGACCGTGCTCCTGCCATCCCTGGTGGTCCAGTGGAGCGTGAACTCTAGCCCCCTGTGGGGCTAGAGATCACTCTCGCGAGATTTGAGCCGCAGCATCTTTGATCTCCCTCACCGGCCCACGGAGGGAGGCACATAGTGCGTGCCATGGGAATTAGGGTGTGCCCAGGCACGCCCGGCACACCTCGTGCGCACGCCTATGTGGCCCTGCCTGTATGTTTGAATAAAGGATGTATTAGTGTTAGAAGGTCTGTGTGCTTAAATGCATGTAATATATCTGCGTAAGGCTAGTGTGTTTGTGAGTGCAGGTTTTAGTTGAGCCCTTTTCCTCAACATGTAACTAGTTACTGCCATGTAACTTGCCAACTCTCTCCATTCACTTGTTCCTGCTTTCCATGCTGACTTCTCTCTCTGCTGCTTACTCTGATTTTCCCACTTCCCTCTCCGATATTACACGCACCCAACCCTAGACTTTTTTTTTTTTTTTTAATCATTAAGCTGCCTCAATTTATGTCCTGGTGCATAAGCAGGCACAGGGAGATCTTTAGCTTGAACTGTAAAGATGTAGCATGTAACATAGTGAGCTTCTATTACTAGCTGAACACCATGAGGTTTTGTGTATGCAACTGATGGGCTCAGGAACCTTCATCTGAATTCTGCATGTGGAAAGGGGTGAAATATAAGCTTAAACCATTGCCTAGACCTGCTTGCCTTTTTATTCTTATCAATCTATGCAAATTCTGTTTTGTTCCCAATAGGACTGATTGATGAGAATGAAACTCCAGAACAAGCTGCCTTGCGAGAGCTCGAGGAAGAAACTGGCTACAAAGGCGAAGTCATGGAATGTTCCCCAGGTGCCCAGTGAATGCATGCTAGCCGATTATAGGATCTGGTTTTGAGTGGTTGGATGAACTTATTTATTTTAAAGGACCACTATAGGCACCCAGACCACTTCAGCTTAATGAAGTAGCCTGGGTGCCAGGTCCAGCTAGGTTTAACCCATTTTGCAGTAGTTAATCCAGCCTCTAGTGGCTGTCTCATTGACCGCCGCTAGAGGCGCTTCCGCCCTTCTCACTTTGATTTTCACAGTGATAAGACGCCAGCGTCCATAGGAAAGCATTGATAATGCTTTCCTATGAGACTGGCAGAATGCGCGCACGGCTCTTGATGTGCATTCAGCCGATGACGGAAGAAGAGGGAGGAGAGTAAAAAAGGTAAGGGATTAACTCCTTCCTCTCCCTTCAGCGCCACGGGAGTGGGACCCTGAGGGTGGGGGCACCCTCAGGGCCTCGGAACTAGCACAAGTGTTGCCCAAGAGATGCCAGATGCCTTTTCCAAGGTTAAGAATGTAACTGAAGAGGGTATTTTAAGTCCTCAAAAACACTTGAATAATGAGTTGTATCCGGGAGCTCAAGTCCACTGCTTCCTCTCGGCATGGCGGTCAAGCCCTGCCACCCATTTGGACAAGCCTTTTAACAAATCTGTATATGAAGAGCAAAAATAAGTTTAGAAATCGAAACATCTTATATTTATTTTTCCTGAAACTTTGTGACTCTTTTAGCTCCTTGTCTGTTATTATAAGCTTTCTTCTTTACACCTGGCAGTTTGAATATAGTAAAACCTAGAAAGAAGAGGAGAAATGAAACGGTTTCCATTTATACTCTTAATTTTTAATTTGTAAATTGACTGGATAATTTAATTTGTAAAATCTTTATAATTTTAACAACCATGTATAAAACATCAAACGTTTAGGTGGCTTTCAACATTTCATTCAATGGGGTAATTTTTAGAAATCTTACGGTTCCACTTTAAGTTAAAATCCACAGGCTTCAAATACAGATAGGTGACAGTCTTAATCCATTTTTTTATTTTTTTTTTCATAATGTATCTTTATACCTTTCCAGAGGAGAAGGGCCCTTGACACCATGTCTAGTGCTTCTCAGTGGGCTTCTGTAAAGTGCAAAATGAATAGAAATGTTTTCACTTTCTGTCTGAATGATCCTTTGCTCGCTCTGATCTTCTTTCTTCAACTGAATACACAGCAATAGATCTTATCAGTACCAATTTTCTACAGTTTTTCCCACATTTCCAGAGTAGTTTTTCATAAACCAGCAGAAATAAATTACTAAATAAATTGATGCAAAATTATACATCCTGTTAAATCATATGTTAAAATGTAGTGGCATACACAGAGAAGTAAGTAGCTACATTTTACAGGATGTATAATTTTGCATCTATTTATTTAATTTATTTCTGCTGGTTTATGAAAAACTACTCTGGAAATGTGTAGAAAATTGGTATAATTTATAGGTGTTAAGAATTCTATATTTTGTTAAATATGTTTTTGTTTTTTGTTTTAGTGGCTTGCCTGGACCCTGGTCTGAGCAATTGTACAACGTACATAATGACTGTGCACATTAACGGAGACTACGCAATAAACAATAAGCCCAAACCAAAGCATGGTAAGCAGAAGAAACCATTTGCATAAAAAGTCTCTAGGGTTTTTTTTTATGCTTTATTTTTTTAGTTTTCTTGAAATTAAATGCAAGCTGTAGCAGAGCTCTACTGGAAGGTCCAGTTAGTCCTACTCTTACATCAGGTGGACAGTTTCATGATGGCTGGATAAATTCTGGTCCAGGCCACCCACACACAAAAAGGCCAAAAAGAATCAGGAGCTCTGTTACCGGAGTAATGACTCTTTCTGCGTGTTATGAAGACATTTTCTTCAGACAGTTTCTTCAAATTTATACTTAAATGTAATAAATGTAGTTAAAGGAACCTCCTCAAAGTACGATAACCACTACCAACTGCTGTAGTGTTTGTTGCCAGGAGTGCGCTGTCATCATTCCAGGTTAATTAGTGTTTGACTATGGTTTGACAACTTACCTGGCATCCAGGGGGCCTCCCCTGAAGCCAGAAGCTCTTGCTAGGAGCTTCTATTAGCTCCACTTAATTAAGCCTTGTTTCGTATTGCCAACACATTGGTTGAGAGCGGGCTGTAGTGGCTATGGTTCTGACATGACTGGAACATCATACAGCGTTTCTACATAGTTTAATATATCTTCCATAAATGTTTTTCTTTTACTATGTTCTTGTATGTCATGTAGGAGGCATTGCAATTTAAGTTTTCTGGTTTTGTTGATTTTCATATATATTCTTTTTTTTTTTTCTCCCTTTTTTCCCCATCCATGTTAAGCTAATGGAGGTATGTAATTAACTTTATTAACATACTTTATATATTTAAAATGAAATTCAAGGCACTATTAACTAGTGTTTTTTTTTTTTGTTTGTTTTTCGGCTTGTTTTGTTTTTTGTTTAGAATTTACAGAGTCAATCGTTATACCCAAGAATGACCTCCGTAAAAACATTGATGGTATGTTTTGTTGGCACTTTGTACTCCCAATGTTAATGTGTGATTAGTGATGCAAGGGCTTTTCTACATAATTGTGTGAGGTGGAAGTAGTGTCTCTCAATGAATGGAACAAAACAGAGTTGTAAGAATGGTAAGTATATGGTGTAGTATTTTACACCATCTGGGGAAAAATTAAGAAAGAAATGCATCTACAGATGGATGGAGCTATGAAGAGCTCTACTTCTAGGCACATGAGCGGTACAATCCCCGCTTAAGGATGCTAATGTGTCCCTTGGTTCCAATTGGTAGTCTGGGGTGTATAAAATAGATACACAAAATTACCATATAGTGTATGTAGTATATCCGAATAGTATAGATAAAATTATAATAATAAATGGCACACACACATGAAATGGATACTATTTACAATGGCTCCTAAAGTGTAGCATGGAATGATCCCTCACTCTAGGATTACTGGTAGGAATGATTCTTGTTTTAAGATAGAGGTGACTGTGTAGAGATATATTAGAACGGAGGTAGCAGTATAGTGCCCTCTGTAGTATGGGTTTGTGCAAATAAATGGATAGCTATTTACAGAGGTAAAGCAATTAAAGTTTTGCTCAATCTATACAGCATACACCAAGGAAAGTGGTGTCCACAAGGCAAACTGAATAAAAGTCATGAGGGTATGGGACTCAACTCGTTAACACCCTGCACAAAGTTGTCTTATATACTGTGAGAGCCGCATTGTACGCCCTAAGGATTGTGAGCCCCTCCAGCCGCCATACTTGCCTCATTCAGCGATCCATTGTGATCCCAATCTGGGGGGATTGCCTGACAACCCAGGCAATCCAACTACTGCCAGCCCGGCCCTCTGCAGTGGCAGTCTAACTTAATGCAGGGGGGCTGCCTGGGTTGTCATACTAGAACGTGGAAAAAAATTCTAAAACTGTCAATCACCACAGTAGAATCAATAGGAAAGTACCATTGGTGATTACATATCCTTGACAAATTTGCACCACTTTTGTAGTCCTTTCTCTAAAGTGCTAAATATTTTAAAGACATACTAGAATAACCCCTTACTTATCACTTTGTCCCACAAAGCACCTATTTTTGGCTGTTAATAAAGGAAACATTCTTAATAATTTATTTATTTTTTAATATTTTTTATTAAACTGAATTGTTTATTGGGCACCAAAAAATCAATGGAATCACATTTAATAAAATTATTTAGATGCTGTTTTTGGTATGCAATTACTTTTTTTGTTTCCATTAAACTGCATGTTTTCTGCTTTTACAGAAATGGTGGCGAGAGAGAAACTTGTGGTAGACGCCAGAGTTTATTCATATGCCCTGGCCTTGGAACATGCTGTTGCTAAGCCCTATGAACTTCCATTTTTGAAGGGTTAGCACTGGAATTTTATAGAACACTTGTATCTTGGTACAGACTTTTTTTAGAGTGCTATCCATTTTGTTGTAGGAATAATTGCCTTTTCAGAAACTAATGTAGTATCGAAGAACTCTAATTGGTCCTTTTAAGAGCCTTTACTTTTTTTCAATTTAAATAAAATGGTTATGCAAATATAACTGTAACCAAAGTAAACTTGTATCCCAATCTATAAATAAAATGTTCTTTGTTCTAGAATATTTTTTTTCTTTTAATTGTGTATCTCTTTGTACAGGTGTAGTGGAGTACTTTTTATATCCAAACACAAGTTTCAGACTATTGAGTTTTACATTTAACATCACAATAGCTGAAATGAAGAAAAAAAAAAACAAATCTGTCTGCTCTGCTTCGGACTTAAATTTGAAATTCCTGATAATTCTCATTCGTTAATTATCCTGTTTGTTTATGCAGCATAAAATACAATTGCTCAAACTGTGTGGGTTTTGTTTCGTACCTAAAACAAAAACCGTGCACCTCAAGAATCTGTTGGATATATTTTATTTTAATATACTGGAACAGGTTTTTTTTTTTTACCTCCACAATTATGTACCAACACAAATTTTGTGCAGGTATTTTGCATGTCATTTGCACTAATATAAAAACAACCACAAAACTGAAAATCTTTCTAGTCTAAAAAAGTGCAAATGATAACTGGAATGTTCTACATAAAAAGTAGTAAAATCTGCAACACTTTGATAAAATGTCAGAGTTTAGAACACTTATCTTCAATATTAAATGGCTCTTAGAGTATAAAGCTAAATCTTTCCTTTTGTAAGGTATATCTGAAACAGGGAGATGTCAAACTGATGACTATAGTGCATAAAATTTGTTTTGTTAAGTTGGAACTTAATTATTGAAGATTTGCTGAATTTTTGTACCTGCTTTTGATACCAATGCATATTGTGGTTTGCATCTATTTTAAAGTGGAGCTATGAGTTCCAAGGATTTTTACAATTTCTGTTACCCCTGTATTTAACAAATATGTATTTGTGAGGTGTAATACAAATAGGCCCTGTACCAAACAGGGCAAAACAATCTGGATTTTGCAATCCAGGGGGCCCTGTACACAAACAGTGAACAGTATTTAACAATGTCTGGATTTTGCACTAGTGGCTGCAAGAATGGTTAAATGTAGGCTCAGATTTTAAAACCTATATTTATCTGCTAGGAGCCAGCGGGCTCTAAACAGACACTTTTGTACTATTATGGCAGTACACTAGCCTTCTATAGTGGATACTCGAGGGTATCCAGAATGATAAAAAGCAAAAGAGGATATTCTTGTGTTGTACCTGTTGAACACAAATATAATGTATATCACTTAAAGGACCACTATAGTGCCAGGAAAACATACTCGTTTTCCTGGCACTATAGTGCCCTGAGGGTGTCCTCACCCTCAGGGTCCCCCTTCCGCCCAGCTCTGGAAGGGGGAAAGGGGTTTAAACTTACCTTTTTCCAGCGTTGGGCGGAGAGCTCTCCTCCTCCGATCCTCCTCCGTTCCGCCCCGTCGGCTGAATGCGCACGCACGGCAAGAGCTGCGCACGCATTCAGCCGGTCACATAGGAAAGCATTTACAATGCTTTCCTATGGACGCTTGCGTGCTCTCACTGTGAAAATCACAGTGAGAAGCACGCAATCTCCTCTAGCGGCTGTCAATGAGACAGCCTCTAGAGGCTTTGGGGGAAGGCTTAACCCATTCATAAACATAGCAGTTTCTCTGAAACTGCTATGTTTATAAAAAAAAAAAATGGGTTAACCCTAGAAGGACCTGGCACCCAGACCACTTCATTAAGCTGAAGTGGTCTGGGTGCCTAGAGTGGTCCTTTAATGGTTCTGCTCACCTTTTACAAAGTTCTACCATTAGAGTACAGAAGTGTCTGTGTCCAGAGCCAATTTGATAGGCTCTGTTTATGTGAGTTTAAATTTGCACACCTTTTAACGTCATCTATTCACTTGCCATTCAGTGTTGCACTATATGTATGTATTTTTGGTTTTTTTTGGAAAGAGAAACATACATAAATTTATAGAAAAGGGGGGAGTATTATACTCTGCTATACTCTCACTCCACAGTAGTTTTATGTGATATTCGCCTTTATTAATTTTCTAGGAATAATTAGCAGCCTGTAGGGGATTACATTTCTCTACCAGAAACCACAATTTCCTGATAATGAATGTAAAGTCATTGAAAATGTAAGCTCACCTTGTGTTTCCAAACAATACTGGAAGTTTCAATGAGTTATGTAATTCTCAGTCAGGGAGAGGGGAGCAGTGAATGGACTCTTTCACTGTCACAATTACATCTGCACTCAGGAAACTGATAAAGGTGGTTATAGCAGTTTTAAGTACCTTTATTTTAGAAATATATGAATAGTGTTACCCAGCCTTTATATACACAGGCTGCACCTTCCTCAGGGCTGCACTGCAAATGTTTTGGTGAAAGAGTGGTAGTAGTGCCACACCTGGAAGTAAGCAAAACCATGGTGTTGGAAGGCTATTGCTCCCAGTGATCCACAAGCGTTAGAAATCTTTGACCAGTGTAATCTTCTATGGTCAGCCCATTGTGGCAATTTGAATTGAGTGCCTGGGGTAAAGTCAGAGTTATGGATGAGAGGTCTGTACTTTATATCGAGCCTGTTTTCAGGCTCAGATTGAGGTATTTGAGTGGATTTGTCAAGATTTTGTTTGGGAGGAGAGCTAGCAATGTGTCTGGCTCTACCAAAAAGGACTCCAAAGGTAGTTCAGTATTTGTATTGGGATTAGATCCAAACCAATGTGGGTCCAAGTTGCTCTGCTTGACTGTATTCTCTAGCGCAGGGTTAGGCAACCTTCGGCACTCCAGATGTTGTGGACTACATCCCCCATAATGCTCTTACACTTATAATGCTGGCAAAGTATCATGGGAGGTGTAGTTCAAAACATCTAGAGTGCTGAAGGTTGCCTATGCCTGCTCTAGCGTTTGGTTAGTTTAGTCCCCCTTGTTTAATGTATCGATATTTTGTTTTGAGAGGTTTGTATCCCTGCCAAAGCGAATCGTCTAAGTTTCTTATTTAGTAGAATTTCATCTTGTTTTGAGAGCAGCAGGGGAAGGACTTGGAGGGGGTATAATAGTTTTGGGAATCTAATTTGTATAAATTGGCCCCTCCGATGTAGGATATGGGCAAGTTGTGTCAATTCTCAACTTCTGAGAAAATATTGGCTAAGATGGGAGGTATGTTCATTTTGTATAGAAATTAGATGTTTTTGAAATTGTGATTCCTACGAATTTAAGGCCTGCAGTTCCCATTTCAAGGGGAGTCCACCTGGCATCGGTGGGGGAAAGCCATGCAGGCCATTTGATTTGTTCCAATTCAATTTTGAGACCTGTCATAACGTAAAACAATTTGAGTAGGTCAACTAGGGGTGGCAAAGAATTTAGCTGATCAGAGGTGAAGAGTAATAGATAATCAGCAAAGGCCGAGACTTTCAAAGTGACTTTGCCCATTGGAATTACCTTGAATACCTGAAGGTTGTCTATGGCTCGTAGTAAAGGATAGATTGCTAGATTAAATAATAGCGGTGAGAATGGGCAGGCCTGTTGCACCCATTTTTCCAGAGGAAAATAAGGAGAGTCAAGGCCATTTGTAGTAACACAAGTCATTTGGGCACATCTTTGTAAATTTCATTAAAAATGTACAACACAACCAAAGTATTGTAGTTGCAAGACTCGCTTCAGGTGTTGCCAAGTGATGCTATCTTACTCCCTCTCTGTCTAGTTCGACGAGACTTTGATTGCAAGCCTCTTCTCCTCTGCCATTCTAGGTACTGCTGCCAGTGCCCTTTGGACTCCCATGACTGCATATCTGCCCTATGCAAAGCCTAGTTGGTGAAATGTCGGTAAGTTGGGTAGGAATGTTTGTATTATCATTGCTATAACTTTAGTGAGAAGTTTAATATCTTGATAAAGTAATTAGATCAGGAGATAAGAGGCCAAAGCTTATGTTTTTTCTGCTTTGAAGATCAGAAAGACTTGGGCCTGATTGAGAGTATCTATTGGTAGACTGTCAATGTATATTTAGTTTTACAAATTTTTGAGGATCGGATTAATTTGTAGTTTTAGGGTTTTGTAATATTCAGCTGTGGGGCCATCAGGGCCAGGTGTCTATCCTGATTTCAGGCCGCCTCATCCAGTTGGGGGAGTGCAAGGTTCTTAAGAAAAGTCATGCTCTGGGCATGGTTATCTGATGGGACATTGGCCAGTTTCCAATGACAATCATAAAACATTTTTCTGGAGAAGTGATTGCAGTAATAGGTTTGAATATTGCCCTGGGTATGGCCATGCGGGCCAAGCGCTTCCCAGACCTTCCACCCCACCTAAAGAAGTGTTTTTGTGGGTGCGGTTCGCGATAATTGTACTGAAGTAATTTTGGGCGTCTTAATATAGCTGTTTATGTCGTGGATAGGGTTAGTCTCATATTGTCTGTTTGAGGTAATTTCTTGTTGACTGATGCAGTAAAAGGGATAATTTGTCCCCTCAAGACTGCTTTGGACTTTTTCCAAAGTAGGTTATGGTCACCCGTATGCTCCAAGTTGTCATTGATCAAGTTAGCCCAACAGGCTTGTAGATAACTTTCGTACTGTGTTCAAAAACCAGGATACAGCTAGGTTCTAGAAAACAAAAAATAAACCATACGTAGTGATGTACAGTAGTAAATATTAAACACTGAAGTTATTGGTTATACTCACAATATGTGAATTAAAGATGTGCCTTGAACCCTAAAATAGGGCTGCAGTGGTCCACTCACCACACTGGATCAAGCTAAATACTTAGCAGTCACAAGAACTTGGACAGAGTCAGGGATCAGATGAAAATTAAATATCTTTTTTGTTAGGCACAAATCATCTGATATTAAAATGTATTAAGTGTAACAAGAAATTTAAAATATCTAACGCATTTTGTCCACTACAAATGGACTTCTTCAGAGATATCAATAAACAGCAGTGAATGAAAATCAAACATGCATAATCTCATCCCTCCCCAAGTCCCATTTAAATAGTGCTGATCAAGAGAAGTTGATTGAAAAATCTTCCAGGTGAGTTTGATTGTATACTGATCTGATTCGTTATAATGGGAACAAGCTCTCCTCATAGGTTTTTGTGGCTAATTCCTTCAGTTGATTTTGATCGCCACTTGATTTTCCCACATTTTCGCCGAGCTTGTCCTGCTTGCGTTCCACAGTGCGGCATATGCATTCCACTCGGTGGTTCCGATCAGAAAGCCCTGTACATCGTGTGTGTTCTATCTCTATGGAAACGTGCGTTCCAAATACACAAACTATTTGGCAGTAAAGTGTTCGTAACGATCTGATCTTGAAATGTTGTTTTTTTTGTTTTTTAAAGTAACAGATGTATTAAATTCCTAGACAAAGGCTTGTATTTTAAAAGGGGAGATCAATCTCTCATTATAGATCTCACATAATTGATGTCATTTATATGATAACGTTTTGGTATGTTTTACACAATCTTTACTGAATATACCATGGACATGGTGAACATATTTTTTTTTTTTTCAATTACTTTTTTATTAAACATACAGTTTTTCAGTATATTATCTTACCTCATATTATTTACATCAATTATGGGTGATCCAACTGAAGGAATTAGCCACAAAGACCTATGAGGAGAGCTTGTCCCCTTCACAACGAATCAGATCGGTATACAATCAAACTCACCTGGAAGATTCTTCAATCAACTTCTCTTGATCAGTACTATTTCAATAGGACTTGGGGAGGGTGGGATTATGCATGTTTGATTTTCATTCACTGCTGTTTATTGATATGTCTGAGGAAGTCCATTTGTAGTGGACGAAACATGTTAGATATTTTTAATTTCTTGTTAATTACACTTTGTTTTTAAAACATTTTTATGTCAGGCGATTTGTGCCTAATAAAGATATTAAATTTTTCATCTGATCCCTGACTCTGTCCAAGTCCCTGTGACTGAGTATTTAGCTTGATCCAGTGTGGGGAGTGGACCACTGCAGCCCTATTTTGGGCTTCAAGGCGCATCTTGAATTCACATCTTGTGAGTGTAACCAATAACTGCCGTGTTTCATATTTATTTCTGTACATCACTGTGTATTGCTTATTTTTTGTTTTCTTGAATCTAGCTATATACCAGTTTTTGTGCACATTACCTGTCTTATTAGAGGCGCTACAGGGGAAAGACTTTTGGGAAGCTGTTTGTTGTCATACTAAGCTAAGTACTATTTCTCTACCCATTACTTGTTTGGTTTTTGGGTAGAGCACTTTTTGTATAGCATTGTAGATAACTTTGGAAAGTCAGATTATTAGCAAGACATGTTGGGAATTACCAATGTGTAATGAATGAACAGGATGTTGGTGTGTGGATTGTTAAAGTGATATGTGCATGATCTGAGAACAAACTACTCTACGGTAGATTTTGTTACGTGGGGCAGTATGCTGAAGTGATCAAAAACCGGTCAGTTCTAGAAAGAGTATTGTGTACTAGTGAATGGAATGTGTAGTCCTTCTCCATGTCGTGTAATATTCTCCATTGATAATGTAAATTACAGGAGGTAGTCAGACGTGTGAGTGCGCGGTCACTGTCAATGTGAGGCGAGGTCTCCGTTGTGTATCTGTCTAACATAGGGTCATGAACAGCATTAAACTCGCCCTCAATTATTTGGTCAATGTTGATTTGAGCGAATAGAGTTAATAGTTTGAAGAAAGGGTTAATACACGCATTTGGAGCGTGTACATTAACAATACAGTAGCAAGTGGCATTGACCGTGAGACACAGGTGTGATGCACCCAGTAGACTAGGCGTGTCCACTGTACATTCCGGAGCCAATCCGAGAAAAGGGGGCGTGATCAGAGAATGGCCGAAACTGTTTGGAACTGTTATTCGGCTCAGGCGGAACCCAGAGCCGGTGAAACTTTTACTAGGGCGCTTTTCGGCTCTGGTCCATGGAATACGGTGCTATTTTGCCAGTTTACATTAGAGACTGAGAGGCATCTAAGGACACTAAGCTCGAAGAGAAGCCACACATAAAACTTGAAAGCCCAGTGTTTTAAAAGTCCCCAAGATGATCCACCCCATCTCTTGGAACTCCACGCAGGATCGAGCGCTAGCCGAATACTGCTGAACTTGAAACCTCCACCTAGTTTGGGCTATCTAGCTCCGATCCGAGCGCTTTTTGGACACAGTGGGTGCTCCCAAGAGACCTTTCAGGGGATATCCCTCATGTACTAAGTTATGGTTACTTTGTCTATTTTTCATACTTTTGTA